TTCATCACATGCGATGTTAGGGCGACTGGTCTGTAGTCTGCCGGGTCGGATGGCCTAATGACTCCTTGATTCCTTGACTTTTGACTTTTGTCTTCCCCTAGTACCACCATGACGTTTACATTTCTTGTTTTGAGTAAAATGTCTTGATAAAGTTTAGATGCTTCAGTTGGTTTGGTTCGAACATTCTTGTCCTCTCAGGATGAATTGTATTAACTTTGCTCATTCTTTTGTTGAAAACTAATAACATTCCGATTAGCCTAACATGGTAAAATGAGATAGTGATCAGGTTAAAAAATATACCTGCTAAACCTAATGTCCACCGCCTAATGTGTGTCAATATATAGGTTCGGACACTCTCTCTCTGGTCAATTAATTTAATTTACTTCAGCACAGTTTCTGTTGGTTTTCTTTATACATGCATTACAGCACCACAGAGGGTGACATCAGGTCTTTGATGTAACAAAGTAGCATGCAAAGTACCCTTTCAACACCTATTTAAGACTATGAATAGACTTCTTTCACAGCAGCCATTTTGACATGAAATAGTAGGGCAAACAGGGGTTACCAATGATACTAATTACGGTTCTGTTCCATTTAGGTCAAATAGCAGAGCGGGTTCTCTTCCGCAGAGTCCGCCATGTTTCTACAGTAGCTCAGAAGGGACAAACCAAACACTGGCTCTAGCTTTCATGTTGTTCTGCAAGTTTTGAGGCCACCGTAGTTTCTCCTACAAACTTTGTATTCAGTTGGTTGCAATCTGCAGCTTTACCACGAGATGCCACTAAATCCTACACACTGGTCCTTTAATGGCATTGCAACTGGCTCATGTTGGTGGGAGTGTTCATCTGCAGTCAGTATATCATCATGGCTAGAACTTTCCTGGTCATTCTGTTAATATATATACTAAAAGCAGCCTCACAACCATTTGTAATTTTATTTATGTACTTATTTTCCTCCTGAATACATTTATTTTTCTTTTGCCTTATCATAATTAACTACTCCATATTTTCACACACTCCCTGGCAACTGTAGCCGGGTATAAGTAACCCTGGATGGAAATCACATTATACATGCTGCTGCATCCCCACCAAAGAAATACACAGAATGATACACAAGAACGGTTTAATACGAGTAAAAGATTTATTTCACATTTCTTCTTTTAAATATCACCAGCTTTGTTTGAGGAATCAAAGACATCAAATCATTGGTCACAGGAATAATTAAGGAGGCTCAAATGCACAGGAGGACAAGAGGGATGGGGGAACAGTCTAAGGTCTCCAGAAAACAATGAAGAAGGTTCACATAATGAGTGCATTATGTCTGCTGATGGTGCTACTACTGTTGTCTAGAAGGATGGACAGAGTGCTGGCTGTGTTTGTTCAATGAAGTCAGAAACATGAACACGTTTAGAGATGGGTTCAAATGTGAGCGACATCGTTGTCCAATCGAGTTGGTTTTGGGTGAATACACAACCAGTGCAGGTGAGTAAGCGCCGGAGGATCAAAGGTCAGTGCACATGGGGTGAAGTTAAGCAGCTAGAAACACACAAGGGCACCACAAGAAGGGGAGACACATAGTGAAGCACTGCAATCACAATGCAAAACACACACACACAC